TGAGTGCAGGCGAGTGTGTTTTGCAGGAGGCTCTGGATACACTCAGTCTGATGCACCACAACAAATTTTAAATGCTGAAAGCCGGTTTCTTCAGAGGGAGTAGCAAGATGGAAAGGTCGGAGGCTTTGGGCAACATACAAAGAGGTGTTGTAGTAGAGCAAAGACGTGTGGATTTCCTCTGTGCTCTGCAGAAAGATCACATTCTGGTCAAAACACCATTTCCATTGCTTAGGTGGAATCAGACAAGCTCACGCTTCTAATAAAATTTTACGGAGAAATCTACTGTGCCTTGGCTGATTACAGATCATGTTCCTAATCCATGACAACATAAGACAAAACTTAGTTGCTAGATTTTTAAGCCACTGTGAAAGGTGGTATCTGCAAGAAGCTGTTCGCAGGCAGCTTTTGTTTTGTATCACTAATAGTTTCCCATGTGTCGTGGTTTAACCCCAGCCGGCAACCAAGCACCGCACAGCCGCTCGCTCACTCCCCCGCAGTGGGATGGGGGAGAGAATCAGAAGAGTAAAAGAGAGAAAACTGTGGGTTGAGATAAAAACAGTTTAATAGGTAAAGCAAAAGCCACGCACGCAAGCAAAGCAAAACAAGGAATTCATTCACTACTTCCCGTGGGCAGGCAGGTGTTCAGCCATCTCCAGGACAGCAGGGCTCCATCACACCTAACGGTGACTTGGGAAGACAAACGCCACCACTCCAAACGTCCCCCCCTTCCTTCTTCTTCCCCCAGCTTTATATGCTGAGCATGATGCCATATGGTGTGGAATATCCCTTTGGGCAGTTGGGGTCAGCTGTCCCGGCCGTGTCCCCTCCCAATTTCTTGTGCCCCCCCCAGCCTACTTGCTGGTGGGGTGGGGTGAGAGGCAGAAACGGCCCTGACTGTGTGTAAGCACTGCTCAGCAATAACAGAAACATCCCTGTGTTAGCAACGCTGTTTCTAGCACAAATCCCAAACGTTGCCCCATACTAGCTACTGTGAAGAAAAATAACTCTACCCCAGCCAAAACCAGCACACCATGGAAATGGAAAGTAAAAAATGGAAACATTTTACTTTTAAAGTAAAATGAAAGACCATCAAAAGATCACAGGTATGTAGCTCTGAGTTCATTTGTATTGGCCAACAAAACACTTGTGTTTATCTGACTTCTTTATGGCCTCGTCATTGTAGTAATTAAGCTGAGCAACAGCAAGAGAAGTGCCTAGGACTTAAAACAAAGAGAAGGAGACATCTATGTGGAGATTTGCTCGGGCAGAGGGAGGCCATCCTAGCGCGGTGCGAGTAGTGAAGCTGGAGGCGCTCGTACCCACAGCACGTGGGCTCTGAGGAAGGAACAAAGCAAATGAGCTGTTGCTGGTGGGGTGGTGGAAAGAAATGAGAGAGAGAGAGAGAAATGAGCGTGGATGAATGAGATCAGGATGTGAGGTTGTTGCCATCCAGTAACATGTCTGAGAAACTTTTCTGGTTTACAGTGGGCAGAATATGTGCACATATAAAAGGGCCAATAAAAAAGATCTGTCAACTGTTTGGCTGTTAATGTTGCATGTGCCATCAAAGCAGCAATAAAAGTGACAATCTCTCACTTCAGAGAAGCCTTCAGCTGGATTTATAATGCATATTGTTTATTTTTTGTGATAGAGTTGGAAATTAAATATTTTAACATCAAAGGTTGCTGAAGTGTTTTCTGCTTCTATTTATGGATAAAATAGTAATATCCATAGAATTCTATGAATAAAATACTGACACTTTTCATGTTAAGCTAAAAATAAGGTTGGAGATTTTTTTTCTTCCAAACATGACATGGCCTTGGTCTTCAGGAAACCTTGCACAAAGATTTGGCCAACCCTTGCCCCTGGGGTTTGATTGCTTTGCATTTCCACATGCGAAGCAGCTCTCCAGTCTGAGGCAGTAGTTGCTGGCAGGGCTTTCACACACACACCCCCCCCAGCCATGCGCAACACTCCTGTGTTCCTAGGCTTCTTGTGGCTCTGTTAAATGAGAAATGCTTTTTCTTCTCCATGTTCTGCCGGGCCTTCGGTCAGCAAGCGTGCAAACTGCTGATGCAACAGCATAGCAACGTAGAGCCTCTCATTTCAAGTCCTCTCATGCCACGTTACGGTAAAACAAGCATCTTGTTAGGAGCAGCCCTCGTCTTTTTAGTGCAATGTGATAACTCAAAACAGCTTTGTGAAGAAGGTTTCTCCTGAGCTGTGGACAGAGTCCGTGCTCTTCGTGCCCCGTTTGGCTAATCATCGCTGTCCTGCTTAGCCCAGCCGCTGTGTTGTGGGCACCCAGCGCTGCGCTGCCTCAGTTTCCCTGCATATCATATAGGGATGATGTTCTGTAAATGTCTTTAAAAAATTTTGAGATCCTTGAATGGCTGCAGGCTACTTGAGGTCAGAGCACTGGACTTAGTGGACAGGACTGCAGACTCCTGGGTGGATTTTCACAACCCAGCAGGTCTTTCTTCTTGTAAAGTTTTCAAGGAGTAAGATGGGGCGTGTGGTGCTTAGGAGATGATTTTGTCGCTGAAAGCATCCAGCTGCTATATAGCTTTTGCCAGACTTGGGGGCAAACTTTAAATAGAAGCAAAACACAGATATGCTGAACATGATGAGGACACCGTGCTGTCTTTTTTTGGCCACAATCGCAATTTGAAATACATTCATTTGAGAGAGTAGATGATAACTCTGACTCCTGCACTGCTGCAAACTGTTGCACAGCCAGAAGTGCCATCGGTTTTTTGTAGGAACCTTGATTCCCAGAGCTGCCAATATAGTTCTTTGTATTTGTTAATAAGAAATGAGCTTTTTCAACTAAGTTGCACAAAGCCTTATGGAAAACCGAAATATTTATAAATATAAATTGGGCAGCACAATTAAGAGGCGTGTCACAGGGAGTGGAAAAACGAGGCCTCTGCTTTCAGCAGCTGCAGGTGTCAGCAGGCAGGTGGTAGAGGCGTTAGCTCCTCAACGAGGAGATGAAAATAACTCTCCTTTTAATTGCTCTGCTTCCCTGGTGGTCTTGAGGGAAATAAAGTCTTTACTAGCCTGAGCAAAGATGCTTCTATAAACTTGCGAATGGAGAGCATCACCCACCTTGGCTGTGCAGAAAAAAAAACGTATTGCAGTGGGGCTTTTACCCTGCAGCCGTTACAGAGAGAAATCTTGTTGCTTTATGGACTTTGGCTACGTTGACACTATACGTCAGACCTGAGTTTGCCCCTAAACTTGTTCTCAGTTGCTCGCTGATATGATTAAGGAGTAAGATTGGGTAACGCTGAGGTCGATGCTTCAGTTGGCTCTCACCGAGGTCACGAGAACTTGTTTATGCTTTTCTGAACGGGTGATTTGTCCTTTAATCTGACTTTTTTAAACTTAATATGCCCCTATGATTTGCAGTCTGCTTATACAAGCCAACAAAGTTTATCTGGGCCTCTCAAAAATCATCTTGACGTCTGTTTGCATACTGCCCTGCAAAAAGCTTTAGCACAAACAGCAGATGTCTTTATGTACGTGTCAGTTTGTATGTAGGAGAAGCCGAGCACCAAAAGACGGTAACTAAGCTCAGTTTGCAGCTGTCAGATCCTCCCCATGGAGGGGCAGGGATGATCCCGCAGTGCTGGACCCCATCGCCCGGGTGCGAGGCTTGCTGGTGCTCCCGTCTGGTCCACGTCAGAGGTGTGGTATGGGGACAGCCTGTGTTTCTGCTCTCCCAGCAGGTTGTCGCCGTGTGGCAGAGGGATCATCCTTGTTCCGCAGTGGAGGGTCATCCTTGGCCTGCAGTGGGGGCACCCCAGAGTTAGGGATCGGGTCCCCCCTGCAGCTGAGCTCTAGCACTGGACGGTTGTTCCAGCAGAGTGGGAAGGGTAGCGAGACCTGTGAGGTACTGGATGCAAGGATGAGTGTATACTTCTAACTGCCACGCAGGCAGCTGCCTGCTTTTACAGCATTTAAGCTCAGAGCCTGCATCGTGCCTCGTTTCCAGCAAGAACAAGCAGTTGTGTCCAGCGCTCAGATCTCCAAACTCTGCTAGGAGGTGGTGATCCCAAGAGGGACAGCCTGGTCCCCAGGTCTGCCCCTTTGAAACGTTAGAACTAGTCACTCATTCTTATGACTTGACCACGGTTTCAGGGTGGAAGAGAAAAAAGATTGGCGTAAAGAGTAAATCCGTGAGCAGACACTTCTGTGAGGAGACACACAGCACCTCCTGCTTTTTGCACTGATGACCAGGTGGTTGATTTTGCGTTGGATTCCTGTGGCCAGGCATAAACTGCTGCATCTGCAGGATGCTGAGTGCCATCGCTTCTTTTTGAGGACACCCAGGCTGACCCTCCGCCTCATCTTTACCATGATGAATTTATGACAGCGGCAAGCCTGCTCTCATCCTGCCTGCCAGAAAGCACCTGGCAGTGAGACCTCACAGAGTTTGGTCAGGGCCGTGCGGGTTTTCATAGCAGGAAATTAATGTTGACAGCTTGGTTGGTGCCTTGACAGATGCCTGGCTTTTTAATCTGAATGCTTAAACATTAATTGGAACTTTTAAACTTAAAGAACATTTAGTCTAAAATTGGCTGTTGCAAAAAGAAGGGCCAGTGAACAAAATACCCGGGTGCTTTGCTGCACTTGCTGCTTTGCGCTCTTCCACTTTCAGGTGCAGCCGAGGTCCTGCGTGGACTTGACTTTGCTTTTCCCAGGTGCTGCTTTTTGGAGATCCTGAGGCTGAGCTGTGGGGACAGGTAGAAAATTCCCAGCCACAGGTTTTGCTCCCGTCTAGAAACCACTTTCCTTACCAGGGCATAAACCTTAAGACGGGAGCATTGCTTGGTGCTCCGCATGCAGGACAACTTGTTGTTTCCAGCACTGGAGTGCAGTTGTCTGTGCTTTGGGCCATTGCAAATGGTAGAATCAGGATTAGCTCGCTACCACTAACACTTGAGTTTAATGTTAAAACTTAGAAGACACTCGATCTGTGTACCAAAGGTTGTCAAAGAAACATTTCTTATAGTTTCTCTCAAACCCTCCATAGTAGAGATTATATGAGCCCTTTCCAGAGCTGACAACCATGCAAACTGGAGTGAGCTGCTGTCTTTTTTTTTTAGCAGAGATTTGATTTTCGGGTGGTTCGTGGATGGAGTCAGCAGAACGCGTGGCTCCCGCAGATGAAGCGGTCGCAGTGGTTCCTCCCAGCTGCGCCCTGAGAGGTGCGGGGTCTTTGTCTCAGTGCCGTAGCCTGTGTCAGAGCCCTGCGAGCTGCCTGGGTGAGGTCTCGTTATGGCACTAATTAGAGAAGTCCTTGCACTGGAGCAGGTTGTAACGCCGCTGCTGATTGTCTCCCTGGCGGATTAAAGGCAAACCCTCCTTAACAAGTGCCTTGAGCTGCTGAACTCCCTAGGACCAGTAATTAATCCATCTGGTAACAAGAAGCATGGCTTGCAGATAGTGATTCTGGGAAGGAGCTTTTAAATGTGTTTGCACCAGGCAACTCAATGCCGTTAGCAGGTTTATTTGACTGAATACATGGGGCCTCGACCAGGGATCCTGACGCATGTCAGGGTGACTTGGCCCTACAGTACAGATTGGGAAACTGAATCACAGACAGGCTTGGCCTGGGCTGGAAAAAAGGGCACCAAAGTGGTTGACACGGTGTGCGAGCATGGGTGAGCTTGTGGCTTTTTGTGCCTTCGTTTATAATTCAGGGTTTTGGTGCAGCTTTTCCGAGATGGCTCGGGATGTCCGTGGAGTGGAGGAACTGAAATGCAGCTGCTTCTCTGAGTAGGGGTGGTTATTCTACAGTATGCAGCAGATACGCTATATATGGACCCACAAGTATACTGGATTTTTATTGCCATTAAAGTCCCTAGCCACTGCTGCAAACTGTATGCAATGTGGTAATTCATGCATACAAAGAAATTGTTTTCTTTTTACCAAAGCACTTCAATTTTTCTATTTAACTGTGTAAGCTAGGACCCACATTACATCTTCCAGCTGCGCTCTGGCTTTGAAGAGCAGTCCTGCGTCCGAAAGAGCCGCTGCAGATCCCAGTGCATTTAGCAGGGTGCTTGGGGGCTTTAGGCTCTTTGCGGAGACCACAGAGACAACCTGCAGTCTCCTGTTGCTCTGAACCATTCCTCCCTTCCTCTGACAGGTGTTGGAGGGGACTTTAGTACGTACTCCCTATGCTAACGTGGAAAAGGCAGCTTGTGAATAAGTTGATTTACAGCTTGGAGCTAATGGATGCAATATCCAGACTGGAACCAGGATGTCATTCAAGCAGGATCGTGGCTCGGAGGAATGGACGCTGTTATGGCAGAAGATCGGGGATGGGTGAGAAGTCCTTCGCGAGCTGACTCGTGTCTCTGCTAGCTGGGACCGTGTCACGGCTGTGGCACCAATCGATGCTGGACCCGTCGTGCTTTTCCATGGCTGTGCCCTAGAACCCTGAACACGCAGGTGTCTTGGGGCTGTAAGGTGGCCTGAGGACACCCAGGGCCACTGTCACAAGCTCGAATAACTTGCTATTAAAGCTATGATAGGATGTAGGGATGTGTTCCTAAATGCAGCTATTTAGCTTTAAGTTAACGTGGTCTTCTCTGACGTATGTGGTCTTGAGGGCTGCTTCTCTTCCTGCTCTGTTTCTGCAGCTGAACCAGCCTTTTCCTGAGGCTCCAGGCAGTCCCCAGTACAAAAACCAAATGTGTCATAAAACCCTATGTTGAGTTTTGTATTCTCTTTGAATAACGCTAAGGATATTACTTGCTCTTGGTGACATATCTGCTTGATTTGCTTTGCAAGTCTATTTTTAAGGTATTATTTCCTGATGATGAAGGCGGTCACTAGTTGACCAGTTTTTGTGGGTACTAAGGTGAAGTAAAATCAGGTTGAAAGGTGTCCCCACTCTGGCAAAACTTAAAAATAGATTCAGAAAGTTAGTCCAGTGTGTGTTATGTTCTGCAGGGGTGGAGAAGTATATGTGTGAGATTGGTTTTTACTTCGAGGCGGCTCACTGAAGCTCCGTCCTCCTTGCAGCATCTCTGTAAAATGTACATCAGCTCACATCTGAGTTCCTATGGCCGTGGGGACATTGAGTGTGGTTTTGTTCTGCGTTATTCTGATTCTTATTTTTTTATTTTTTTCTCCCTCTCAGGTTGGTTAGCTGTCTTCATGGTAGCGTTGAACCATGAAGCGTGTTAATACAGTGTGTGTTTGTGCCTTATTGTTGTAATTGGCTGACAATTTTGTTTCTGCTCTTCCACATGCTACTAAGCTGTTCTCTGCTGAGTCTTGGGAGAAGATGGTAAAGTATTTGTCCATCTTCCTTGGGCATTCAGGCCTCTTCCAGTTGATGGTTCCAACAGGGTGGAAATTAAATGTAATAACCTTGTACTATGCACATCAAAACTACCAGAGGTATGAGTTCCTAAAAAACTCTCAACCCTCTTATGTGGTTTGTTCCAGGCACAGCTGCGAGCTTTCATCCCTGAGATGCTGAAGTATTCCACGGGTCGTGGGAAACCAGGCTGGGGTAAGGAAAGCTGCAAGCCCATCTGGTGGCCTGAGGACATTCCATGGGCCAACGTTCGCAGCGATGTCCGCACAGAGGAACAGAAGCAGCGGGTATGTATCCCATGTCTGTCCGCCTTCAAATTGAGTACAGGGGCTTGTGACCGGTTTTTGTGGGAATAGTTTTCCCCTCAAGTGACAAAAGAAACTACGACATCGGCCCTTCCTTGACTTTGTGTCAGACATTCAGCCTGGGAGAGCAATGAGATGAGAGAGGTGTAACCTTCAATCTGCTCTGTCCCTGCTGGGGTTGTGTGACAGGCAGGTATTTGAACCACATCTTTTTCTGCAACGGGTGCCCTTTTCGCTAGCTGCAGAACCTGCTCGTCTCTGTGGCCTTATGAAGCAGCCTACCCAGGCTGAGGCAAGTCTGCTCTCCAAGTATGCAGGTCATTTACTGTAGAGTCTGTGTCATGGCATCTTGAAGCCTTTGAAGGGATACTGTCCCATCCTGAGCAGCAGGGACCTTTGTACTTAAAGGGAAGTAGTCAAGGATGTGCAGTGGAGCCAGGAAAAAAAAAAAAAGTGAGAGAACTGAGTGAAGAGGTCTTGGATATCAGTTACGGCCATGGATCCTGTATGCAGGTGATGTTTCTACCAACCTGTCACAAGGAGATAATGAAAGCAAGCTACCAGGGTGTGCAAGGGGCAGGACTTGTGCAGGCTGATGTAGGTCTGGTTGGATGGGGAGGGATGCCTGGTGAGACTGGAAAAGGTACTATGGCAGTCAGTGCTTTCTTAGGTAGAGATGGTTTTCTACTTGTCGCCCCAATCCCTTAGTTAGAATTCCTTGAAAGCTGGTGAAACAGATTTCATGGAGAAGCTTCCCTTTCCCTTGGCCAGATGTGCTCCTTCTGTATCAGTATACAGCAATGCAATAACTCTCCAGGGTGATTTCTGAGTCTTGGGGAAAGGAGGGGGTGAGGAGAGAGGGATTAGGTATTGGGGCCTTTTGTTTGTTTGAGAATTTGTTGAAAACCGCCCAATAAAACCTGGTAAAGATAAGCATGCAAATCGCAGCAGTAGCAGCGCTGCAGTGGTTCAGGAAACTTTTTTTACACTGACTCCGCTCTTTTTCATTCTGCTGGTAGGTGTCGTGGACCCAAGCGTTGCGGACTATCGTGAAGAACTGCTACAAGCAGCATGGGCGTGAAGACCTGCTCTACGCGTTTGAGGATCAGCAGACACAGCAGCAGACTACGACCACACATAGTATAGCGCACCTGGTGCCGTCGCAGACAGTGGTACAAACCTTCAGTAACCCTGATGGCACCGTGTCCCTCATCCAGGTGAGTGAAACCCTCCAGCTTTTCCATTTCCAGCACGGCTGACTCGGGGTCGAGTTGCCTGCGTCAGGGAGGTGCTTTAGAGCAAACTCCTTTTGGTAGCTTAACTTGTCCTTCAAGAATTTTGTCTTTATCAGTACGTCTTAGCCCACAGGCTTGTTAACCCAATGCTCCCACCCAAAGAAGCAGTCTCATCCTCTCTCTTCCCCACTCCCATACCTTGTTCTCCTGTTATGGCAGTACAAGCATTTCTACAGCTATTTGGTCAAGCGATTCAGGGATCGGACCTGAGTTTAATGAACCTGCTTATGAACAAATACAGTTCACGATGTGGCCACACAACGCCTGTGGTGGCAATGGGATGGAGTGATGGGAGGAGCGGTGGTGGGACTGCCTTTCTTTAACGGCATGAAACATAGCTTAATCTACGGCATTAGGTATTTCTGTGCCCCCTGTTCTTTGTCTTACACCCTAAGTGTAATATATATATTACACACACCAAATATATATTTATCCTTGTGATACCCCCTGCAGTAAGGATGCCTCTTACACCATTTTACAGAGGGGGATTCGGGGCAGAAGGGGCTGCGTTCAGGCAGCATCTGAGTGGTGCTGCTGTTTTCCCTGTGTTCCCTGCGTGGGGAGGCAGGTTCTGACAGCTCAGGTTGTGGACAATTTAAGTGCTCTCTTGAAACTTCCCAAGAGCTCCTCGTGAGTGTGGGATTTGAACCTCAGTTTTCCCCTGTGCCCTTGCCTCCAAACCACCGCTGCCCTCTCATACCTAACTGGCCCCGCGGTTTGTCCCTCTTGAGCATCATGTTTTTAGTGAAGTCTAAACATCATTTTCTGTTGGCTGTTCTCATCTCACAGAGTGGTTAAACATTGGAACAGGCTGCCCAAGGGAGTGGTGGAGTCACCATCCCTGGAGGTATTTAAAAGACGTGTAGATGAGGCGCTGAGGGACATGGTTTAGTGGGCATGGTGGTGTCTGGTTGACGGTTGGACTCGGTGATCTTAGAGGTCTTTTCCAACCTTAATGATTCTATGATTCTGTGAAGATAAAAACATCGTGCATCGGTTTGGTTTGTTTTGTTTTCCAGATGAAAGCTTTTCAGTGAATTGTTACAGCTTTCTGCTCCCCTCACCAGAGCCCAGCAGACTGGCCAAGCTGGTTCTGTTTGCTCACCAGCTAACGTACATTCTCCCTTTGACTCATGTTCTCTTAGGTGCTGGGTGGGCACCTGAGATCCCTTTGACTTTCTAGCATTCCTAGGTTTAATTCTCCTTAGAAACAAAGCTGCACATCTCCCTGCCTTTGTCTTTTCCCAGCTGTTAAATGGGGAAAAGGTAATTTCCAAAGGCAATGGGGTATTGAGGATGAACTAATGTTTGCCAAGTGCCTGGAGACGAGAGACCCAGTGAATGGTAAGCAAGGAGCGTTATAAATGAGGGCTGATGTGCTGGGTGTTCTGATCCAGGACCGCGTGGTGTTTTTTTAAGTGACTTCCACCCCGTGGGAGAAGCGTGTTGGCTCCACCTGCACACCACACTCACACCTGGGAGTGGCAGCAGCGTCCCACAGCTGCTCTTTGCAAGGCTGGGAGAATAGCGAGGACTCTGTCTCCTGCGTGAACGTAGGGGACAGCACGAGGGCTGTGCAAAACTTGCTTCTGGGCCATATCCACTCTGGAAGCTGCCATAGATTAACGTGGATCTAGCGTGTGATTTCCTCCCCCAGCCCTTTGAGACAGCTCCCTATTTTCTGTGAGCTCTGCAATTACTATTATTCTCTGTGGGTGCGATGCTTTTTAATCGGAGAGCATTTGAGTGTCCCTTTGCCTGAATTATGTGGACATTTTCCTGCAGTAACAAATGTGTTCAGCTGCATTTTGTTGACTTCCGTAGGTTGGCACTGGTGCTACAGTTGCCACGCTGGCCGATGCCTCAGAGTTGCCTACCACAGTTACCGTCGCACAAGTCAATTATTCTGCAGTGACTGATGGAGAGGTAAGGACCGGGGTCATGTTCATGGTGCACAAACCAGAATTGTCCTATCTGAACTTCAATAAAGATAAATATATTCTAGAATTAAGTGGTCACAGAAAACACCAAGCCTTGCTTCCCCACCCTGCAGTGTTAAGGGTTAACATACATGTGAACACGAGACTCTATAAAATTTTATATAGAAAGTGCTGAACTGTTGTCATTTTGACTCAGGACTGTACGAAATGCAATTATGGTGGAAGCCTCAGTTCTGAATTTCATACGTTTTTGGATATCTCCTATAGATTATTTATTTTGTGAGATCTGCTGTAGCAGATAAAGACTTAACGACGTCCACAAGTACACATTTGTGTATTCGTATTGAGCAACTGTTTCATACGTGCTGTAGATCCTGGGTGCTGCTTTGTCAGTTCAGGGTTGGGAGCGATGCCTGGGATATTTTGAGCCTGTGGTTAGCAAAGGATATTGCATGGCTGTGGGCAAATCCTGTGATTCTTTGGCCGCTGATCTCTGGAGAAAATGGGACTGTTCCTTTGCTGCAGCTTTTAGGGAGGTTTGCAAGTAAATCCCGGAGAGAGCTGTATAAATGCACAGTAGTGTAGAGACAACAGGAGGTACTGCGGAGTTACTGTTCCGTTTACTTTGAAAGTTTCTTCCACTGCTTTACAACTTGGCAAAGTTGCTTCTATTGAGGATTTGATCAGACCATTTCAGTCCCAAAATCTGGACACTCAAATTTACATGCATTTATTTTTCCACTTTTTTTTTTTTTAATTGAGTAATAAAGGGTTTTTTGTGTGTGTTTAAGAAACATTCCTTTAAGATTATGAAGATTTTTAATTTTTTTTTTTTTTTTTTATTACCCTCTTCGCCCCCAAACCCACCTTTAAACCAGGCTGCAGGTTGCTTTCTGTCCCTTCGCTGCACACCAGAATTTCTGGCCGGACAGTCTGTGGGCAGGAGCGGCCAGGTCTGGTCCGCTCTGCCTGGATGGGGCTTTCACGGCGACAGGTGGCAGCACAGAACAGCTTTGCTCTGCACCGGACCCTGTTTCCATCTCAGACCCACAGTGAAACAGCCTGGCTCTGGGGCCGTGACCTTGAAGTACTTTGCAGCTGCTTTGAGGGTTTTCAAGAACCAGTTATATCTCTTGAGATCTGAAAGAAATTTTTCAAAGGCACAAATAGAAATCAGGGGAACGCAGGCGTCTAATTCCTAATGTGAACGGAACGTCTAAGCGATATCTTGGACAAAATAAAGATACAAAAGTAAACTTGCTTTGGGGATGGGTGCTATTTCTCTGCACAGATAGATCCACAGCCTGCTGGCAGCCTCTCTAGGGACACTTTTGTCCTGCTATCTCTTGCTGTGTGAAGATCTGAGTTAGCTCTGAGTAAATTGATGTGTTTATAGGACGCCGAGCAGCATGGAGCAGGGATGCTCGCTAGTACCTCAGCAGCACGACCTTCGTGTTAGTGTGGAGAAGGGCCTGGACAGTCCCCCCCTCTTTTCCAGGCCTTACTCCGTCCCTGTTCTGAAACAGCTTAGGCATCTTTGCGGGGCACTGTATGTCACAGTGGAGACCTGCCTTATCATTCAAATGTGTGTTGCCATGTATTTGAAAAAATGTATGTCTGTTCCTCTTCTGCATGGTGGTGGGAAGGGTGTCTTTCCCAGCTCGGGCTTGCTTCGGTTCGGTTTTGGCATGGCTAACGAGTACCACAAACTTGATCCGACTCTCTCGAGATCTCTACCATCTGCAACTTCTTCCTCTCTGGATGCTCAAACTTGGTTGCATCTTTCCTAAAAGACATTGCCTTTTCTAAAATCAACTTCCTTTCTCCTTTTCGCAATGCACTATCTCACTGCTTCCTCCCTGCTTTGGATCCTTCCGCCCAGGGTCAGCTCTGGGCACAGGAGAATGAAGCAGTTGCCTTGAACGTCAGATGGCTGGGGATGGCTAAAGAGCTACGACGAGCGCCAGCTTTGCCTGTGCCCAAGTGCTGGAAAACCAGATTGGCAGCTGCTGAGGAGTGTGTGATAGCAGATGTGAGTGAGAGCGCGTCAGCTTCTCTCTCCCTCTCCATCCTGTGATGGGACTAACCCTTTTCTTGCCCGAAGGCAGCAAAATTTACTTGTCCTTTTGTGGGGAGCCTTGCACCAGCTCTGCTTCTATGGACTTTTTAGCTTTCTCCATCTTAACAAATTGAGGGGTTTTTTCCATCACCTTCTACGGCATTCTTATTTGTGAGTCTCAGCAAGATGGTGAGTGGCCTGAAACATTTATGGGGATGAGAACAGTGATGGGAGGGTGGGGGAAGATCTTCATCTTACAAAGCAGCCGGTAGGATTTGTCAGCTGATGGGCCTTCAGCCTCCACTTCTTTAGTTTTTTTGGTCCAATGCATATTTCTAGTTCACATCCTGGTGGATTTTGTGGCCGTACACTCATTATCTCATGAGCTGTGAAGTCCCAAATGGAGAAACGTGGGCAAGGTGGAAAATGAGCAACCGAGACTGGGTGAACTTCAAGTAATATGAAACCTATCTACGTAAAGGTCTGAAGTAAGGGAATTGAAAGTACCTGAAATATATGAACAGAGTATGTTCCATCTGCCATCTTCTTTTATTAAGTATATTGCTGCAACACAAAGAAATTCCAGTTGTCTCAGACCCATCCGAGTTCCCAAGTGCTGTACAAATAAATCTTGAATGGGAACATGGGCTGTTCCCCAGAATAACAGCGGATGGGTGCAGACAAATCGAAACAGTGGGGCCAAGCGCAGCCCGTTTCCTTGGGGGACGTGATCCCTGCTGGGGTTCCAGCACCACGGAAATGCAGCTACTTAATAAACTGCCCAGGCTGGCAGGCAGTGATCCGAGTACAGCAGTGATCAACACTGTCCCGTTTTGTTGCGGACATGGCTGGACAAGAGGGATTTGTGGGAGGTTGAGGGGCTTCACAGATGTTTATGGGGGTGCGTTTTCCATGTGCATGAGAAAACTAAAGTTCTTGTTTGAAGTTTGAACATATGGAGAACAGCAACTAAAATCGTGGGCTGACTATAGAAACTCACTGATGGCTGATAGAGGGTTGTAGAGTCCAGCAATGTTCTCAGGCGCATCCTGGGCTTCCTCCCCTGGTGCTCTTTTTTCCCTCTCTCTCGGAGAGAGTCAGAGCATGTGCAGGATTCTGCAAAGACCTCTCAAAACTATCTGGCTCTTTCATTTTAGGAAGCAGCCGTCCATTCATGGGATGACGTCCAATCCTAGGGCCTTTCTTTTTGTTTTTCCCCATAGGTGGAGCAGAACTGGGCAACGCTACAGGGGGGTGAGATGACTATCCAGACGACGCAGGCATCAGAGGCCACACAGGCGGTGGCATCATTAGCAGAAGCAGCAGTGGCAGCATCTCAGGAGATGCAACAAGGAGCAACTGTTACCATGGCACTCAACAGGTATGGGTGAGAGATGAAGGCTTGAAGCACGTGTGCGTGACATTTCCTTCTAAGTTTTCAGTCTGATGGTTCAAAGACCACTGTGTACAGTCCCAGTAGAGGCGTTTCCTTAGCAAATTCCTATGTCAGCCCGTATCCAGGTGTGTCTGCAGGACAGTTCCTGATTTCCACTGTAACCATAGAACACTGACATGGAAATTTCCTGAAAGAGGAAAAGATGGGTAGTAACTGTACCCTTTAAACGATCTTATTTGTACAGCGAGGGTCCAGTCACAGAACTGAGCTTGCTAAGCAAGCAAGAGTCGTTATGTACTAATAGCACCTTTTAAGTATGCTGGTCTGGGTCTCCCTCAATATTATTAACAGTTCTTACTAAAAGGCTAAGGCTGAATTTCCCTGTTGTGTGGCAGTATGGTCTCTCTTCAGAAATCAGAATCTTTTCCAAAGGCCAGTGTTTTGGGGGTTTCTCCCAAATGTGTTTCTGAAGTAGAAGCTGAATGAGCTGCAATAGTAATGCTGCCTCTGCATCTTGGAACGAGCTCTGTTAGATTTTTGGTTGTACTCAGGTTACCAAGATCTGCAGCGTAGTTCTCTACAGGTCCATGCAGCAGGAAGCAGTGTCTTGGCTCAGCTCTGCTTAAGCTTTGCCTGCTGTTCTTAAAAACTGGAAATGGCTGTGGCACACCGTGGCTGCAACCTGAGAGAGCAGGCGGACCATAGGAAACACGGCATCGGCCCCAGCAGCATGGGAAGTCTTACACTGCTGAGGTGTAGACAAAATATTTTCCTCATCCAAATCGGGATTCTGGTCTAGAGGCTGTTGCCTGAGCAGCCATGGGTTAGGACAAGGCACAAGTCCATAGTACTGATGGTTGGAGTAAAGCTCCAAGACCTTGGTACTTACACAAGTTGCTAACGGAGCCACCTTAATCCTGGGGGCATTCAACATCTTGCTTCCAAATTGCTGTTGCAACTGAATCACGAATACACCTAGAACTGTTTCTTCTCTTTGATGGTCCAGATTCAGGTCCTTCAGATATGTTCTTTTCTGCTACCATACGAGGTTGGTTAAGTAGGCTTTTTTGCTAATAGTTTCACTATAAAATTGCCCTTTAAAAACAAGTGATCTTTTTAGGATGCTGTAAGAACAACAGCTAAAGTAACTAGGCATGGAGTTGCAGGAAAAAGCTCCATCTCCTGAAATCCGACTTGCAGGATCTGTGTCCTGCACATCTCCAGGTGATAGATTTTTCTATGTATCTTTTGAGAAGTTTTTCTGGACTAGAAGACCAGTGTGCTTTTGATTTAATTTCATCCCATCGCTACTGGTTTTAGCTCTTAAGGTTGCAATGAGGAGTTCCTTTTCCTATATTAACTTAAGAAATTCAGAATCTTGAACAAAAAGAAGTGTTGTTAGAACTAAAGAGAGTCTCCTAGGAAATATGAATGGAAGAGCCTTCAACAAGTCATTTAGTCTCTACTGTGCCTCAAGACAGGATCAGCTCTGTTTATACCCAGGAAAGCCCCTGTGATAAGTCTGTTCAAACAGCTTGTAGTTCAGGAGCGATGCGGTGAGAATGAGGGGCCTCATGTTTTATTTCCTGGCTTGTTGTCACCTTCTTTGTCTACTGGCAGGTCTGGAGACCTTTATAGGTGACTATCCTCCAACACCCTTCCATGTGGAAGAGGTGTAATTTTTCCTTTGCCACACAATGCTCCTTGCAGCTTTCGGCTGTGGGACTGCGGTCTTGCCTCTGCCTGTAGGAAGATCTCAGCAAGGCTCCGGTCCTTGAAAGCTGGTGGCTCATCCCAGCTCTGGAACCTTTATGCCTAATTTAGCTGAAAGCTGCCATCTCTGAATCTTGTTCCAATGCCTGCTGACAGAGTGCAGAGTCTTTCATAGTCCCGCGTAGAGCAGCACATCTGCCAACAGCATGACATGATGGATGATGCAACCTCTGTCAGGTTTGAGGATGGGAAGTATTAGGCCTTCTAGTAAAAGAGGACAAAGTGGAGGTAGGTAATTAATTCATTGATTTGAACCAATTAATGTTTGTGGAGCACACTGTAACTGGAAAAAGCTTTTATGCTGCAGGTCATTATTATTTTCAGGGATGCAACCGTAACAGATTATTAAAATGCTCAATTGCCCTTGAAAGTGGATTCAAATAAGTGCTGTGTGAAGTCTGGGAAACAGGGTTACACCAGTAAATCCATGCTTACGCCTGGGTTTGCTGTGTGGTAGTTGGCCTTCCTGCAGTGTAACTGCCTTCACATTAGCTGTAGGTTCAGAAGAGAGATTAGCCAAAGGGAGTAAGAAAGCAGAACAAGAAAATGTTCTGGTTCGCTGACAGTGTTCAAGAGCTACTCTGAGAGACAGAGGGGCTGTTTAGAAATGAAAATACACCCTGAGTGAATACAGTTGGAACGTGTACAGCATCTAAGCAGGAAATTAGGAAAGAGGAAGAATGAGTGGGAAGTACTTGGAAAATATTTGAGTCAAGTGGTCTACTGGAGAATGAGTGGGGCAGTTAAGGAAGAGCATCCTAGGGGAAGCTAAAGAAAATACCTACTTTTTTAGTTCGTTAAGGTAAGAAATGGTAGGAGATTCAGATGCAAGAAGGAGGAGGCGGCTTTGGAATAATTTTGTGATTAGCAGTAGATCACGGGAAGTAGCTAATAGTTGTCCAAAAGGTCTGGGGAAATCTGGACAGCTGCTGAAGGATGCTCACAGCACTCTGACTGTGCAACCAAATGGCAAATAAAATATGATGTCAATAAATGTGACACACACATGAAGAAATATCTCCTGTATGTATCCAATGAGGAGCTATATGTTACCAGTTACCATTCAGAAAGCATTCAGGGAACTATCCTCCAGGAATATTTTGTCACTGCTGAGCAGATATTGTCAAAAGAGTAACTTGAATATTAGGAGTTAACAGGGAAAAGCATAGAGAACAAGCCAGGGTTAGGTCCCTGGACTAACTCATGGTATGTCTGCGTCTTGAATAGTGTGAAAAATGGTTACCCCGCTCAAACAGATGTCTTACATTTAGAAAAAGTCTGGAAAGGACAAGAGCGATCAGAAGCCAGGAAGAGTCCTTGCACAGTAAGTGGACTATGGCTCTTCAGCCTGGGAAAGAGATTACTGGAAGTCTATGAAATCATGAGGAAAATGAAAAGGGAACGGTTATTTTCTATTTCTCACAATATCAGACTTAAGGGCCGCCCAGCCAGACTGAGGTAGTAGTTTTCGGAGTACCAGAATGCAATTTTTCTTCACACAGCATCTAATTAAATGTGGCACTCATTACTACAGGATGTTGTGAAAGCAAAAAGTGTAAATGGGTTTCAAAGGGGATTAGACAAATCAAACCTGATGGTCTAGATGCGGTGTCTGATGTAGGAAATCAATACACTGCTGACCGTCGGAAGCTGAGAGGGTGTAGGAAGGGAAGGATCATACACACTCCTTCCTAAATATCTGATACTGGCTGTTCTCACAGCAGGGTTGCTGCATGAGAAGGACCTTTGGTCTGACCTCATTCGTATGAAGAAATTTAAGAATACCATGCTAAGCTACCGATCACTCATTAAAAAGAATTATTAAACCACTTGGCTGGGGAGAAGTACTCCATCTTAGCTAAGTACAGAGCTGCTGATGTGATCCTGGTAATGGTAAACCGTTGGGCCTGTTTCAGTGCAAGGTGAACTGGCTGAATCAGTAGTGAAGGGTAAAGCTCTAAAATCTGTAGAGACTCGGAATGTGACAGTGCCAAAAGAATGAGTTTTGTACCAGCAACGAGAGAGGCAGGAAGGAGCCACGTGGTATAACTTACTTGGATTGTCCAAAAGCTGTTAGTAAAGTCCCAAGCAAAGGGATGCGAAGGTAAGAAGGCAGGGATGTTCTGACTAAGAGATCTGCAAGCTGAAAAAAAGCCAGTGGAAGCAGCTTCTTCCCATGTATTCCTCCTCCACTGTAGATTTTCTGCTCTGGATAACTTCATACGGGCCCAGTAAGAATCCCTCCTTTTCTGCATTTGTTCTCTTGACGTACGATGCCTGGTTAAAATGGATGCTACTGGAGTGGAGTTGCTTGTTTGTTTGGTCTTCCTAATGCTTCTTTCTCCTTTCCTGTGCCCGCAGTGAAGCAGCTGCCCATGCAGTAGCCACGCTTGCTGAAGCCACTCTTCAAGGTGGAGGACAAATTGTCCTATCTGGTGAAACTGCAGCAGCAGTAGGAGCGCTTACCGGAGTCCAAGATGCCAATGGTAAGGCTGCCGGAAGGTTTTTACTTTGTCTGGTTTTTTTCTTTGCTCTTAGCTAGGGGTTTTTCTTCTCTTTTATTTGAAATGTCACATTTTCACTAGTAAAATAGTTCTCCCTCACTGCAGATGGTCACCAAGTAGGTTGTGACTTAAAATCTCAGAACAAAATGGTAGCACTAACCTCTTGTTTACTTCCATAGTGCTGGTGGCTCTGCTTTTTTTTCTCCTTCTGCCAGCTTGCTATTTAGCCTTAGTTTTTTGGGGGGAAAACTGCTCCCCACTCTGTATCCGTACAGTGCCTAGCACAGGGAGGACCAGACTGGGTCTACTAACACAACTAGTCAGTGCCATAATAAACTCATCTCCAAAATGCTTCACTGTGAAGTGGCAGGGAGTATGACCAACGTTTTATTACCCACTCATTTCCTTCCTTTCTCAAGACTTTTTTTGTATGCTTGGTGGCTGCTCTTGAGCAACTGTCACTTTTCTGCTTGGGTGGCACCTTCCGGTCATCCCTTGGCAGTCAGCCTTGGGTTGTTTGCCTCCTGCTTTATTTTCCATCTTGCCACCGTAGTCAATCGCTTGGTTCTAGGGATTCTCTGTAGTGTTTCTCGTCTATTATCTGGATGTCTTTTCTGCCAAGTCTGGTGACTTTCGCAGTTATTCAAACTCAGCTGGTAGTGAATAAAACAGTAAGTTCATAGAAGCTGGTTCAAGAGACGACGCTGGAACGTACAAACGTGTCTAGTTGGTGCTCATCCACTGCCTCCAGTTGCGCTGTACTTCTGCCTGATGCCTTTACCATGCTTTCCCAGTTCAGAGATGAAACTCACTGGTTATTTTGATTACATGGAAGGAGGTGTGTCAAAATAAGCTCAAAAAGGATGGGAAGTGTGATGTTTTAAAGAAATGTTGCCTTGAGGATGGGGCTATTTGGACTCTAATTGTCAAAGGGGAACAAGCATGTGCAGTCGGCTGGCAGAGCGATGACTTCTTGCCTTGTCACTTTGCATGTAAAGCAGAAATCTGGCTAGACGAGACCTCGAGTTTGACTTCCATTGAAATCCTCTTCTCATAGGGAACGTGCTTGTTTTAAAACGTCAATATTTAGTTTGCAGCGAAAATGGTGCAGTGGAGGGAAGAGTAATTTTTACCCGGCATGTTCGACTTGATGTCTCTTGCTATGGAGTCAGCCAGCCTGAAGAGGGAGCAGAAATGAAGTGAAAACCCTGTCCTCAGGGTTTGCATGGAATGCATCTGATATTGAGAGGGAAGAGTAGGGTGATGTTGTATTGCGCTTTGCCAGCAGCCTGGCATGAGGGGGATGAGACGTGTGGTTATCAAAGGAAGGATCTGACCCTGGATGCTCAAAACCAGCAAGTAATCAGATTTGTAAAAGCACGTTAGTGTCCTTTAGCAGATCTGCACCCCTGGCTCCTTTTGGTCTACTTCCAAAATGCTTTCATGGTCTGGATTCCTCTGGATGCTTCCCCTAAACAACTCTCTTCCTCCACACCCTTCCTGAGTCACTCTACCTCACTCACCCAGCATTAATATAATTTTAACGCAGGCTGGGCTTTTTTTTTTGCCTTTTTTTTTTTTTTTTTTTTTTTTAGCACTCCCAGAGTTGGAAATCAGATGGGATTTAGAGTGCATTAAGGGGAGAGACTGCAGCATTTTCCTCTGTGCAAAACCTCGCCCGCAGCCCCTCGCCTTGTTTCCCCTCTTCTTCGATTTACTCTAATCTCCGGTGGTATTAAGGGGAAGGGCTTTGTCGGTGCGGTAGTCCTTGGAAGCGCCATGCTGTTAGTTTTATTACGTAACCAGCTAATATATCTCCCTTA